TGAAGTCTTCTACCCCTTGCACACAACCCTTGGCTCAAACTTCCAAAATGTGAAATCAAGTGTTTATTACAAAATCTTATATGCGCTGCCGTCGAGACGGAGCCGAGTCACACACGTTAAATTCTGGTATACTAAATACCAATTAGTACTAATGAAAGGACAATAATTAAGTACGCAACGTTGACCGTGAGCGCGCTAATTGAGCGATAACGCAAAACAGAAGACGGTTGAGCAATTCATGATTTGAAACAAAAATAATGAGACTGACAATGAAAAAAGAACAATACAAGTAACAAAAGATCCTCTGTCGCGCAATCCAAAGTTTAGACAATGAGCTGCCGTTTCACATTTATCGAGAGCCGTCGAAGCCACCGATTCTCTATTTCAACTCCTAGAACACCGAGTGGATTTGGATTATCACCATCTACATTTGACGCGCTATTGTTAACCTGAAATAGTAATTTTCACTTTGGTATAGTGTATACAGAGATGGCTAAACTATCCGATAAATAATTCATCTATGACTATATTACCTACATAATTCGATTGAGTAACAGTATGACTTGGTTTGACGCTCCAACTTAAAAGAAATCCAAATGCTGAATTCACGGTAATGACATGAACGTGTCGCTCGTTAGTAGTTAGTAAGTTACCAGTTCGTAAGACGATATTGTGCTCGTTTTTCATGCACGGTCAGCAACTAGAGAGCCGCGAGCTGACGTGACAGTATCTCCATCCCCTCGCCAGCACGCTGCCGCTACAGCATAAAAGCACGTAGGCTCTCCACTAGAGGCGCCCCGCGTTATGGCTATACTACGTTAAGGCGGGTTTGCCGCCGCGCGCCGCGCGCAGTGTCGTTTATAAAGCAACAAGGTCACGCGCCGAGCACAGCAACGCGCATATATTGTCCTCCGGTAAATTTCGAGGTAACACCGCCTCTGACTAGGCATTTCATGAGTAAACGTGCTAGCGCCGATGATGTCAAAATGTTGTAAATCATGTATAATTTAGGAAATGAAACTATTTTTCCGGATTTAAATCGCGTATATTTGTTTTTTCAAACAAACCGACTTTTCGGGCCCTTTACAGATCCCATGGTCACGGTTGACTGAGGTGGTACAGTCTTCAACCAGTTATGTCTAATATTGATGCAAACCACCTTATTTTTTCACTATAGTTACAATAGTTAATAATTAAATACCTTATTTTTAATTTTACAAAGAAAACATTCCAATTTACTTTACATTAAGTTTTACAAATTATTTTATTGAATGAATTTTTATTAAGTTCAATTTATTATTAATGATTAATATAAATTAGAATAAACTAAAACTAATTAATTAGTACTGCAGTCTTATGTCTGTTTGGGATTTTTCATTAGAGGAAATACTGGATCCCAAACTGGTGGTACGGAGAAACCATCTTCCCTGTTGTAATTAGTTACTAATAACACCTTAGGCCATACTGTATTTCGAAAGAAAACCCATACAGATAGGTATCTCAATGGTAATTCCCATCACCATCCTAGCCAGTTAGCTACCATGGGCAAATCTTTCTTTCAGAGAGCACATGGTGTCTGCGACAGTAATCTATATGGATGGGAATAAATAGATGGTTTCTCCGTACCACCAGTTTGGGATCCAGTATTTCCTCTAATGAAAAATCTCAACAGACATAAGACTGCAGTATTAATTAATATGTTTTAGTTTATTCTAATTTATATTAATAATTAATAATACATTGAACTTAATAAAAATTCATTCAATAAAATAATTTGTAAAACTTAATGTAGCGTAAATTGGAATGTTTTCTTTGTAAAATTAAAAATAAGGTATTTAATTAATAACTATTGTAACTATAGTGAAAAAATAAGGTGGTTTGCATCAATATTAGACATAACTGGTTGAAGACTGTACCACCTCAGTCAACCGTGACCATGGGACCTGTAAAGGGCCCGAAACATCGGTTTGTTTGAAAAAACAAATTTACGCGATTTAAATCCGGAAAAATAGTTTCATTTCCTATGTGTAACAATCGCGAAAACCTAAGAATTCGACATGTATAATTTAGATACTTGTCCGTTGGTTGGTACGTCAGTACATGATAGAAGATGTACAGAGCAGGTAACTTATAATATTGTGGTCTGATCTAGTAAGAGACAAGTGGATCGCGGAATGGGCGCGGGGGAACGGCAACAGTAACGGCGGCGGCGGCGGCGGCGGCGGCGGGCGAAGAAAACAGGGCTGGATAGAGGAGGAACTGGGAGCTTGACGACGGGGCGAAAAGTATGGTGTCTGGAGGAATTTATGGAGGTACTTACGGTCGTAGTGACCGTAAGTACCTCACCTGTAATAAGATAAAGCATACATTAGTTAAAGGGGCAGAGGGAATGCTCCAAATGCGATTTGAGCAGTCGATGCACATTTACGACATCGTTAAGGAATTAACAAAATTGTTGTTGTCTAGTGCGCTTAACCACAGGGATTCGAAGACGATACAGGGGTCATCGAGGCGATTGTCGCCTGGTGTGTTTGAGTTGTCAGCAGAAAAAATAGTTTCTTTAATTTTCAGAACATGATGATCAAGAGTTAGCACCGTACTAAGAGTACGCACACATTATATGTAATATTACGTCGGGAACTATCTGCGACCACGTATTTACAGTTAGCGCTGCAGCTTGGGTAGCGGGGCGCAAGCGCACAATGGCGGTGTCGCGCTCTAGTTGCCGCTGTCGCCGTGCCAGCGCAGCGCTCCCATGTCAGACTCATTGTTCGGCACTTTCTTGCACCTACTTTTATATACACGTTATGTCCTCACAGCGGGAACGGCGGAACTCTTCATTATAGCATATCACCCACTTAATTACATATATACATTTAATGAAGTCGGTCGCAAGGGTCAAGTAAAGAAGTAGTCTCCACAGCAGTGGCTTATAAGCCTATAAACCAGCTTTCAACAACACGGAAAATTATAATTATTGGCCGAAAAAAGCAAAGTAACTATGGGTCGTATTCCGGAACTCTACTCAATGGTCTAGTCCTGGCTTGAGCATTGAGTAGAGTTCTGGAATACTTGGAAGACTTGAGTATGATTTCAAGCACTGGAAATACGACTCTAATGGCAAGGACTTGAGTATGATTTTCAGTGCTTGAAATCATACTCAAGTCTGCTCAAGTCCTGACTTGAGTATTGAGTAGAGTTCTGGAATACGACCTTTAATGTTAGGTCAAGAAGTCAGCTATAATGAACATATATGCATAGTCACCACACGCATCAGAGTTAGCTGCGAGGACGGTACAAATATTCGGTCGTTGGTGTCACAGATGCGCCGAGAAGGCTTAGACGGATCTTGGTCGCGGGTCGGCGGATTTTCTAGTTTGAGTCGGGAAGGCTCGCTCAAAGTCAAAGAATAATTTGTTCCATAGGTAAAATAAATTTACACTTGATAATTTCGTATTGTAAGCTACTGCTCATTCATTACGCTGACCTCCCTGAGAAGAACGAACAAGAAACTCTAGGGATTGCTCTTGATTCAAAGTGTATTCCATAACATTTAAGTTTATTTGAAAATCAATAAATATAAATGTTATGGAATACACTTTGAATCAAATCTGTGTGGAATTTAGGCCCATTACGTTTTCCCATGCAACTTTATCTAACATGTAGTCTTCAATTTTGTAATACGACTTTTTAATTAAAATACTAATGTAAGTTTCAAACTTTAGGAAATGATAATTTTAATATTTGCTCGAGAACCCTGTTGTAAAAACGTATACAGTTCCCCATAAAAGAATCGTTTACCTTAGTTAGACGAATTCGTGGTACCATGGGTTTGGACTTAGTTCTAAGGTTAATATTATGGATATCTTCTTCCTTAACGAAATTATGTATATTTTTACGGGCATATAAAATATTTGAGAAAATGTACTGTGTTGCCACAGTCATGATACCCGTTTCCCTAAACTTTTCACAAAACATTATATTATGGAAGTAACTAATCTAGCAGTACTAACATCAGTAAGCTTACGTACTCTGCGGACTGAGTTGAATCTGCTGGCCAGGGAGATATGCCTGTGGTGTGGTCGCTATATAATAAAGATGTAGGTATATGTTACGATAAGATATCTTAAGGTTCTACGAATACATTTACTTAAAAAAATTAGTAAAGTTAAATTTGTGAGCGAATCTTGTCTAATTTAAGAAATATTTTCCTTAACATTGGCATTGCAAATAGTAACGAAATGTACGGGCTTCGTGTCTATTTCCTTAAAAGTAACAAAAAGCCGATGACATCAATGCTATTTTTATTAACCACAAACGAGTATGAAAAGTACATACAACGTACATCCGTATGCTCATCGATCGGAAAAGCGGATCGGCCAATGGTACTTCAAAGCGCGCTGGTCGCAATGCGCTCGTACACTAATTGTCGCATCAGGTTACCCTAAAATATTATCGTTGTGCAATCATAACTTAATGTAGAAGTAGCACGGTCGTGAGGACCTTGGCAAGTGGGGCACAATTAACCATGCTCCCGAGTTAATCGCTCGTAGGTGTCTTGCACCTCGCGGCAAGGTGACGGACTACGCGCAAAATCAAAGTATGTACTATACCTACTGCATTATGTACTCGCTAACAAAAAAAAGACGTGAGGCAGCGCGTGACGTCACGCAGGTGGAGTGATAACACGCGATAACAAGATAAGCCGCTCGCCCTCGTACGCCCTAAGTAGGCCGCCGCTGGGCAGCGGCTACAGTGGAAAAACTATGGCAATGCCCATTAAACTAACCGGCGGCCTTCTACTTCACTGTAACGTAACTAAATCTCGGAAGATTAACTATCAAACAAATAGAAGCATTCAAATTATGCCCCTTTAAACATTCAAACCACGACTTTCAGGCCGGTCGTTGCATTTACCGGGGAATTTTTCGCCAATATTTCGTCTAGGCGATTTCGCGCTTGAATAATAAATGACACATAGACGGACGACAGCGACACACCTGCAGAAACAGGAGACAGTGTCGTCGATGTCGAGCGGCAGCGCGTGCGGCGAGGCGGCGGGGGACGGAGCGGGCGGCACGCTGCGGTACTTGACGTGCAGCACACGGCGAGCCGCGCGCGCGCCGCTGCGCCGAAGGATGCCCACGGGCCAGCGCCGCGACGCCGCCTCGTCCTCGCCCTCGCCGGCGCCCCCCGCGCTCATGCTCCGCAGCCACGCCTTCACCACCATGCACCGCTCCCGTCCCTGGCGTCGAGCACAAGAATCGCTGCAGCGTTCAGCACTTCCCCGCGAAGCCAAGACGTCGCGGATGCGCGCGCGTCGAGTGGGTAGTACCGCAAAAAACCGTTCACGCTTGCGCTCCGCGGCCGACTGACGACGGAGGCGAGAGGCGGAGGACGAGCCGGCGACGGCGCGCGCTCTGACATCACGCCTTATCACGCCAGCGCACGCCGCCGCCGCGCACCTGAGCTCCGCTGCGGCGAAAGTCCGCGCCACGCTACGGCGCTCGCAACAATCTCGTCAGCCCGCGCAACGTTCAGCGTCTATTTGCTAAACGAACTCCGTCACTCCGCTTTTTATGATCAATCGACCGATTCCCTAGATCACCGAGTGTACTTATTTACCGTGTACATCGTACCCGTAACATTTGGAGTGTTTTTATAACCGCGTACTCTTACACTGCAAACCAATAGAACAGTCAAATTCAAATTGTTAAAATGTCAAAACAAGTTATTCTGCATTATACATTAGTTATCTCAACGATGCCGATGTAGGTGGAAAGTCGGCCACTAGCACCCGGTTTGCACTCAACAGCCTGATTATACAACTTCCAACGTCTAATTTAATCTGAAACTGAAATTAAGATGGTGATGTACGCAGCTCACACAGCTCAGCTCAGAGTACATAAACGTAAGGAACAAATTGTCAATAAAAAATTTGACAGTTTGTATATCTTTAACCCGTGGTCCGTACTTAGTGTAAGTTCCTAATGATGATTAATATAGGAACATTGGTGTCTGTTAACTTTAAATAGTAGCATCAACAAACAACAGCAATCTGTTGTTCCATGCTTTCCACGAAGCTAGCTAAATCATTAATGTAAACTAAAAATAAATTTGAACCTGACAATGAGGGATGCCATTACTAATTGCAGACCCTGATGATCGTATATACGTGGGGCACACTATAAGTTTCCGGAATGAATAAGAAAAAAATACTATAAATGGTCAGAAATGAATTTATTGCTTCTCAAAATATTCTCCGTTAGCGTTAATGCACTTTTTCATACGAATGAACCTATTTTGAAAAATGTTTTCAAAATTGAACGAAACAACACGATCTAACGAACAAAATTGAAAAAAATTGAATCGAAACAAACTGTATTCCACAGCCAAAGAGTTCCATTTTCAAATGTTGTAATTACTTTTTAAATATTGTTTATGTAAGTGGCCAGTTCCGGAAACTTATAGTGCGCCCTATGTATTATAACTTATGAGGCCTGACTCTACCAGTCTCGCTGTTTAAAATGTTCCAAGAAGTCTTTACTACATCCGCACTGTTTTTAATATTATTACACTTCTATAATAACATTCCGGTTTATATTTAAAGGACAAAGCCCAAGTTTCATACAGTAGTGGACCTACTAAATGAGTTTTTTTTAAACATTATTTGTTGCAATTGCAATTTTAAGTAAAAATTACAGTATATTAGGTACGTAGATAGAAAATGAAATGATAAAGATAAAAATAAATTACCCCAACTACTTGATGCGTAAAAGGGAATATTTATCCATAGAGATTGACATCATAGAATCGATCAATCGTCAATATGAGTGTATTGACGTATCTTGTATGAGGATAGGTTTTTGTTTTGAGCTTTGCGTGATGTTTTTGGAGTAGTTGTTCAAATTTCGTTTCGTTGCTGTCAATTTCATGTTTAGTTGTCAATTGTTATTTGGTTGTAATTGATTTTTTAATAACTTAATAACTGAAGCCTTTTTATTTTGTTTTATTTTATTGTTCTTAAATTATTAAATTGATTCTCTCTTCGTTACAAATTATCTCGATAAGGTATATAAATCGATTTGTTTTCTTTTGATTTTTAAATCACTACATCTCTAGGAACAACAAATCTCAAACGTCACCGTACCATGCTATGTGAAATGAACTACAATAGATTTTTTTCGGTCAGCGAGATTAGGAGGTGCTTTTTTGCTAGAGTATTTGTCGTCTCTTTTCTTACTCTTTGAACCGCGAATTTGTTTATTTTTGTGGATTTCTCATATCTGTGTGTGTCGCTTATTGTATTGTGTGTGGCTTGCGTGGTGAAGGTAACTTTTATGTAGTATTAGGTCTGTTATGGAGGTTCAAGAAGGAGGCACCGATCCTCCATATGTTTGGTGATTCGGGACTTCTGCTGCGTCACCAGACAATTTTACGCCAATTACTTCTACAAGTTCTAGTAGTAAGCGCAAAAACTATACAGCAGAGTCTGGTAACAGTAACCTCAATAATTGTAACTTTTTCACTGAAAATTAAAAACCCGACCTCAAAAGTTTGCTTATTGGCTTTTTTCGATTTCCATGGGATCCCCTCATCAGATTCTGACTTGTTGGTGACAATGGGACTGTTACGGACTCCTTTGTACATTTTATAGTTCTTTTTCCTGGTTGTCAGGGTGAGGTGATTCGTTGATTACATGTGTTGTGTCAAGTGAAAAGTCGACTTTTACTTGCGGAAAAGATTTTTCAATTTGTGATAGCCGAAACGAACCCGGAACAGCATCGTCGGCATCAGTGACCACCTCGAGAGTATGCCCTTTCAAATAAAAAAGAATTTTCAACGGAGAAATCGATATGTACGGACAACGGCACACCAGAGTACACATTTTTGTTCGAAAATCGCCTCCAGTGCAACGGAGCAAGAGACGTAAATGTGTAGCTTGATGTTCTGGCGTGTGTACATTGACGTGCCCACAAAATTTGAGGATTTTCCTCGATTTCCATGAATCACCTCATCAGATTCTGACTTGGTGGCAATGGGAGCACCACGAGAGTGCACCCTTTTACCCAAAAAAGAATATTCAAAATCGGTCTACAATTGACAGAGAAATCTGAAAACATACACCGTAGCCGAATGTATAACCTGCTCCTTTTTTATTAAGTCGGTTAAAAAACTTGTGACTGAATTTAGTTCAACCTCGGCGTCTATACACGCGCTCCAACGCCGATGAAAAGAGAATTTATTCCTCCATTTGTGGTTTGACACTAAGGGTCGTATTCTAGAACTCTAATCAATGCTCAAGTCAAGATTGCACTGGAAACACAAGCACTGGAACTACGACCCTAATGGCAGGGACTTGAGTATGATTTCGAGTGCTTTAAACCATACTCAAAGCCTGACTTGAGCATTGAGTAGAGTTCTAGAATACGAGCCTAAGACTAACGGGTCTGGGATATACATTTTTCAAATTTTTAGGCTTTAATTTAATTTGTAAAAAATAAATTCTGAAACGAAGTCAGTGTCGCTGCCGCTCGACCCGCGCCATGGAACCTATTCAGTACGGGAAACATTTTAAATTCGAGCTGAGGTAGTATTGACTCTTAAGTCTGTTGGTCGCAATAGATCGTCTATGGAATTTGTTTTAATAATAAATAATAACAATTTATTTCAGATAATTTGAATACATAATTTGTTAGATACACACACTTATAGCTATGCTAGTTTTGTATTGTAGTCTTAATTAAAACGTTCAATGACCGCTCTGCGATGCCTCGGTCAGACTGAATATAAAGCAATCATTCCCACCTTCATAACTACCCGTATGAGTGTCATCAGAAGTGTGCCAAATGAACCCAGGTGTACACTACAACCTTTCTAGGTTTTCAAGACGACACAGTGGCCTGACCTGGGAAAGTCACATAGATAAACTGTGCGAAAAGGTTGGCCGTGCACGTTTTGCACTAAGGTGTATATCAGCTGTGTTGCACTACAGCATATTTGTTGCACTACTTCACATCTGTGCACTCGCTGCTACAGTATGGTGTTGAGCTCTGAGGACGAGCCGCCGACTCGGTTTAGAATGTCCTAAGATTGCAAAAAAGGGCAGTACCGGCCATTGCAAGAGTGTCACGCATCAGCAAAGTCTGTTTTCCGGACCATGAAAATACTAACGGTCCCACGGATGGTGTGTTTTCAAGCAGCTATATATGCCAGAAACCACTTGGAGGAGTACTCCAGACTCGGAGATGGATGTGCGTGCGCATCACGACATGCGGGCTATACCGCGGCGGCTGGCGAAACCATCCAAACTTGTACATGTAATGGCACCGGCGATCTACAACCGGTTGCCAGATAACGTGCGAAGTGCACCATCAAGGAACTCATTCACACTTCTCCTGAAAACGTGGCTTGTTAAGCAATCACTCTACACGCTTGATTATAGTATTGTGTGATGCTATTAACTTAACTTATTGTTAGTAATTTGAGGTAATTGTGGTGTAATTGGTATAATATTGTTCATTGTGTTTTTATTATTATTGTTTTTGTGTAGCTTATTTTTATTATTTAATGAATTATTATTAAGATTTAATTATCGTATTAATTATTTCTTGGAATTCAATTTAATTTTATAACTTTTTTGTTATGAACAAATGACTATGACTATGATCTAATATGGACGAGTTAGTAGAGAGTTTACTTTTACCTTCTGGTATTGGTAATATTCTTAAAGCCCATCGCGTACAGGAACAGGAAGCTGGCATAATGATTCGACCGAGTGGATTCCTACGCAATTAGTTGTAGTCCTCCCACGTTCATTCTTTTCTCTAGCATGTTTACTTGTTCTATTCCCCTCCTCCTCCTCAACATCTAGTGCTTGAAATGCTGCCGCTTTGTTATATGATGTCAAAGCGCAATGCCGGTCTAAGCCTCGGTGCTATAAATGCGCCCAACCTCACCAATCATGTACTGTTACTACCCTAACATGCCTATACTGTTCAGCCTTGCAACAATCTGACGACAAGAACTGTCCTGAACTTTTACGGCATAAGTCGATAAAGCCTGTCGTGTCCCAAGAAAAAGTTTCCTTAGAAGCTTAGAAGCCTCTGCCCGCTTCATGCAGCCCGAATGCAGCGTCTTTCAGAGACGAAAAAAACTGGCTGGTTACAGTTTTCCTATAAATCATTTCGCCTCGATCCCCACCTTCTATCAGATGGAGAAAAAAAAAAAGATTTCGCTGTTTTTAACACAACCGTAATGAGGTCCCTGATCAAGAGGAATCTTCTACATTTGATATAAACACAGGCTCTCCAGATTGTATGAATGACCTCTTCTCATTCTCGGAACTTTCTTTCGAATTCTTTCAATAACTTTTGTATTTATTTTTTTATTTATATTTGGGAAATTAACAGCTCAAGTGACATTGATGTAGTTACAATAAACGAAGATACACAGAAGGGCTCTCTTCACAAACTTCCTCGACTATTGTAAATGAATCGGT